AGGTCCCGGGCTCTGCGGGTGCGGGGGGCGCAGGCGGGGGGGCACCGGCCCTGCGAGGAACCCGGGCCCTGCGAGGAACCCGGGCCCGGCCCGGCGGCCATGGCGGCGCGGGGCAAGGCGGCAGCGCGAGGCCTCCCCCGGGCCGCAGGAAAGGCTCTGGGAGAGTGAGGAAAAACTTTAAATGGGCCATAGCCTGAAGATATTATACTCTCCCTGGCTGACAGCCTCGGCCTGGAGACCAGCCAGGGAGGACGAGAATGGGGCCCTTGGGGTCCGAAGATATTAACAAAATAAATAACTCCGACCGCAGCGCCCCCTTCCACTCCCCTCAGCACATTCCGCGGAGGAGCCGGCAGCACCCTTCCTCTCCCGCTGCCTCCTGAGGTAAATCAGACGCACCGCGTCTGCTTTGTATTATTAAAAGAGGGAAATGAAAAAAAACAATGTAAACACTCTTACAATTGCTGCGGAAACTGGATCTAACCAGGTTATTCAAAGGGAAAAAACGAAGCTATCCGTATATGCCAAGTTTGCTGAGACATCTGTTAATTGTAAGGGGATGATTTTAAATAAAGACAAGTCATGGTTTAGGGCCTGGTTCAGCAAAGCCTGAAAATGTGCACTTCACAAAACCAGGAATCTGCCCCTTTTCAATGAAGCCCTCGCACATGTTGGTGCTCATGGAAATAAAACGTTGTTTTTCAGGCCTGTGCCGCGGGAGGGGAGCCAGCTTCCACCTCGGGGCTGGAGCTCCACAGACTGTTCTGGGAGGCTGCGAGGGCACCCCTGCTCCGCCCTTAGCCAAGAAATTATTATTCTAGTTGTCAGTGTTATCCTGTCGGCATTATACGGTAAGAAGAAATGAGCACTGTTTTAAAAACTTTAAAGAACAGAAAATGTCACTGTTGCTACTACTATTATGATCGTATTGTTTTATTATTATTACATTGCTCTTAGATCATCCTCAACACCATGTTTCTGAGTTCAGCACAGTCATTTTAACATCAAATAGTTAGTTTTTTACTTCAGAAAAATCTTTATATCAGTTTAGCATGTACTGAAATGCTGATTTCAGTAAGAAAATTAAAAAATCAAAATCTTTGTTGAGTTTAAAATGTCATCCCATAAGAAACACAGTGTCGTCATTGCCCATTATTATGAGAGTTAAAATATTCAGTAGGGGTTTTCTGTTTTTTGGGTTTTTTTTAACACTATCACCTGAATATGCCATATATGAAAAGTTTGGCTTCATTTGTGTAAGGTGATTTTCTATGCCTGAAATCTGGAAACATCAGGTCAAGAGGTAAAATATTTCTTAATTCTGTCAATTCACAAGAATCCAGTCTTTCTGATGTTTACAAACAAATAAATAAGTAAATCAGCTAATCCCCATGATTTTCTGTTGGGAAGCTGGCTTAATTTTTACGGTTTGGAATTGTCAGTACTGAAAATAACTAGAGCAGAGATGAAAGCAAGTTCTGTGCCTGCTCAAATAAACTCTCAAGATATTTAGGTTTTCAAAGTGGTCTTTTAATTTTAGACAATAAGCTATTTTTATGTAAATATTACTTTCATTAAGTTGTTTAGATGTTTTTCTAATAGAAGTTTTTTTATAAACTTTCTTTGTCAGTAGAATAATAATTAAAATGTAAACAAATGAATACTCAATAAGTGGAAAACCTCACATGCTTTCTCTGAAACAGAACAAAATGGTTTAAGTAACAAGTCCATAAAAAATAGTCTTTAATGTGTTGTTGAACTGTTACTGTTAAAGCTCTAAATTCTACGATACAAGGCCATTATCCAGTTATGACACAATCCTCCTTTCTAACATCTTTAAATGTACATATTTTATAAGTAAGTTTACATACATATATGGCATTTGGAAGCATTTGGACAAAATGCATTAATGTCATCTTTCATGAGCCTTTGTATGTCTTGCCTTGCTTAGGTACTTAGGGAGCATGAGCATTTTCGAAGATATCTGTGACATCTGTTCTTAATATTCTAACATCTTTCTTCCGTGTACATTTGATAGACAACATACTTTTGGCAGTCTTTGTTATTAGAATTGCCAAAATGTTGATATTAATTTGAGTGCCTTGGTTTTCAGTGAATGCAAGCCAGAATGAGCCTTTTCAGAGACTCATCTTTGGAACCAAGTTATTTCTAGAAAGCCAAATGTTTCAACATTCTTTTTAGGTAATCAGAGATAGATTTATAATAGAATAAGGAAACGATTTCTATTCAGGAACAGTTGTTCAAATTTATCTGCTCCCTCATCTTTATTTCTGATCTGTGTAGTTTTAAATAAAACACTCTGTTAGAACTCCATCCAAGTACCAGGCTGTGGGATTTTGCTTTGCTATATACTTAACCCTCCTAAATGCCCATTTAAAGTGCATTGATATAAGTGTATAAATGGCATTTCATTATGAGATTTTCTGAGATTTAGATGTTACAGTGCTGAGCACTGTGCTGTGCAGTTTTTAGAAGTCTGAGCACGGAGTAAAAGGCACAGCCATGAGTTAAGCAACATGTGAGAAGCCCTCTCTGAAAGGTCCGTGCAAAGTCCACATCACACCAGAAAGCAAAAAGAGAGCCACTAAGGAAGTCTTCCAGGTACTCTGGGTTTGCAGTCTGACAGGAGGGAGAGGTTCCTAGGTATTTCTTTTCACAAGTTAGGTGTTGGTCATTTCTCTGCAGTCACACCACTCAATGATTAGGTGACTGTAGAATTCAGCTGGAATTAAATCCCTTTATTGCAGAGAGCCTGTTCCCTTCAAGTGTATGTCTTGTATGTCTCTGAAGAATTCATTAGCCACAGGCTTGCAAACTATTCTGTATTGGTGTAAGTTTATGTCCTGTGGGGAAGCTGCTATCCAGTTTAGTAAGCCTCAGGGAGAGGGAGAACATGGCCTGGGTTTCTAACCTCTCTGACATGTGGAAGGGAAAGATTAGGTTCCAGTCGCTCTTTGAAGGGTTATTGTGGTGGACAAGTTCTATAACCCACCTTTTTCTGCTCCAGAAACAAAGATGAGGCTGCAACTGCTTTTTCTGAGGAGGCCAGTGTGAGCTATGAGAATGTCTACTGGATTACACCCGAGGGATGACTGCCTGATTCCTGAGGGACTCTGGTGTAAGTGCCGGGTTGTCTAGCCCTCCTGATTGTGGCATGTCAGAATGCATGTAGGAGCCAAGCTTTAGGTACCAAGAAAACGTGAAGGTGATAACTGGAGCACAGATGGACGTGAGGTACCTTCAGTTAGAGAACAATTGGGAGAGGGGGTTCAACACTGCAGTTTCTAATCTGTGTGTGATACTCAAAGCAGAACTGAAGCCCATGGGAGGTGAGTGTCTATCAGCCTCATCCACTGGACCTGCTCACATAAAAAAGCTGAGATTTAGTCCTGTGTGACTGAGAACGACTACTGGGGATATTTCATACATCAGATACATGAGCCAAAGATCTCATCTTATGTTTATATCCATTTCAGAATCTGCAGAAACAAATGTGAGAAGCCCTTGCAGACGCCGAAATACTGTCCCTCTCAAGGTAAGAGAAGCATTTCATAACAACTTCATCACAGATCAAATCTTGTAATGTGATATTTAATTTTGGCTGCGGATGCTTCCCTTATTACAAAAAGCAAATTAATTAAGCTGCTTTATTGATAGTGTTCCTCTACGTTACAAATATTTATTGGCCAAATTAGTTTTTATTTATAATCTTGTAAATTCAGTGTAATTTCAGTGATGAGGAATTTGCCCAGAAGTTGAGAAACACAAATCCACTCATAGACGTTATCACCCTGACTCACTGCAGCTCTGTCAGAGCTCTGTATGTTGTCTCTTCCCCCCGCCATTAGCTTTGCTGTTACCCAAGCTGAGATATGCAGACCTTTCCTGTTAACGTAGAATGAAATCCCTAGACATGAGATCTGTAGTAATGGTTTCTGTTCTGTGGTTGTAAAGATGGCTATGGATTCTTCGCTCGTCAGCATGGGGAAGGAATATACTTTATAATGCATGAGATACCAGCAAAAATTGTTCTTTAATTGCCGGAGTAGTGTAACTGCCATATTGTCATCGTGACAACAGACACACAGATCAAAAAGTGTCTCTGAATTGTCATTTTGAGTACCATTCTCTTAGTGGTGGTATTTTTATTCCTGCCATATTTAGCTAAATTATCCGTTTCCTAAAAGAAACAAAGGATACAGAAATTTTCAGTATCACTTCTGCAGCATGGTTTCCTAAATCCAGTATTTTGTACTGTGTGGATTTTGGCTTCAGCTGCCACAATTTGAGGGCTTTATGTGCAGCCAGTATAAATTAGGCTTGTGTCCCGATGTACCTGCTGCCGTGTGTCAGTCTGGGCATTCAGACTTCTGTAACTGTAAGAACAAGTCTGCAGCATTTTCTATGTGAGGGATACAGCCGTCTCCTGAATGTCCCTTATATTTCCTCTTAAACGTTCCCTGTCGTCTCTGTTGACTCACTGACCTTAAATGAAGCAAGTGAACATTGATACAAATAATGAATAAATATGCAAACGTGCATAAAATGCAGCTGAAAACTAAAATGGTAAACAAGGGCCAAGTCTACTCTCACCCCTTTGCTGAGACGTGCAATTTAACTTTCTCTCAGTAGATGTCAGCAACACTACAAACTTGCCCAGTTGACTGCTTCAAGAGTCCTGTTTACAATTTTAATTAGTTTTCCAATTTCAGTTTTGCAAAGGAATAGCCCATCTAAACCTATGGAATCTATTGCCCTCTGAAATAGGATTAGAGATTGCTATTCAGCATCATAGAGTAATATTGTATTCTCGGTAATGCAGAACTCATACAGAACTTAGAAGGGGCTTATTGCTACATTTTTAGAATTTTCTGGACATTTACCTCACATTTGCCCTCCAGGCAAACGTGAAGTAATATAAGATGTCTAATATTTTGCTTCTTTTTGTGAAGTAAATCAAAACCGTGGGAATGTTTTCATATAATTTGATTTACTCCTGTCTCCTACAATACATCTTCAAGTCTGTTCAATTAACTCTCTGCCTGCTACAAGAAAGGGGCACAGTCATATTCTGACTGAAAGCAATGGCAAGTGTTTTGTTGGCTCTGCTGGGAATTGTGTTAGCCCCAGAGGAGTTCAGAACCACAAAGGAAGGATGTGGAAGGAAGTTTCTTACTAGAATTTTGTGTGTGTGTGTGTGTATGTCAGGGAGAAAAAGGGTTGTTTATTTCTGTGTGTAAGGAGCATTCATTTTGCTGCATATTTTATAAACAGAAATATTTCAAAATCATCATGTATGTGAAATAGGGAACAGAGAATAAACATTTCAGTGTTTATTTGGTTAGTAATGAAGAAATTTTATTATCTTCTGATTCTCACAGGAGGGTTTTTTCCTTCATCTGATCTCCAGCAGGAATCTTTATTTTTGTGATATATTGGGTACTTGTGAAGCATGGCAGTTTTGCAATTTTGGAAGTTAAGATCATACCCTCAGAAACAGGATCAGCTCAGAAGGCATCAGTGAACTGCATGTGCCTGTCACCATCTCATTGGTGAGAGCACCAAAATGATCAGCATGAAGAATTAGAGGCCAGTTCAGGCACAGGCCGTGCTGGGGACATTTTGTGTGGTATCCACTTGTCTGTAGGGAACTGGGCTGTGATCACTTTATCTTGGCTGCAGAGCATGCTCACACATGAGCTACACATGCCTACGCTGAGCTAGAGCTGGCCAGCTCCAGAACCAGATTCCTCTAACCAGAGATGCAGCCACAAAACCAAAAATAATGGAGAGGAATCAGGTGGAGTAATTTTAACTTCGAGTTAAGGGAAGCAAAGAGCTGTGCTCCCCAGCTTGTGTTGGATTATCGAAGATAACAGCACTGAGGAAGTCTCATGCTGCTGGCAGCATCGTGCTTTGTTTTCCATGCTGGAACATTTTCGTTTCCAGTTTGACAAACAACATTACAGTGTGTTGCCTTCAAGCCATAGGTTGGGAGCCACCATGTCCGTTCCTTTTGGTGTCTGCTCCTTCAGTGTCCTCTCCTGCCTCACTGTCCTCTGTTCGCATGCTTATCAAGTGGTCACTGATTCTTCTCTGCTCGTCAGCTGACCCATTCTGTATCAGTCCTTTTCTCAGCTGCACTTTTCTCATAACCCACCGGCATGGGCTGGGAAGTGCTCTCTGGCAGGGAAGCGCTGCCAATCGAGTAATTACCAGTTCTAGGGACTGGTCCAAAACATAGGGAAGCCAGTGGAGTTTCGGCCCCCCACATGGGCCCATCGATGTCTGGGGGTCAGCCTGGGTAGAAGAGGCAGACAAGGAGAAGCAGTTTGTCAAACTGAGCATGGGGTATGTGGCTCCAGGGTGATGAGGCAGCAACAACACGGAGCAAATCTTACTTGAGGCATCTGTTAGCAACCATTTGGGAACTAAACGGAATGACCCCAGTGTAATCCTGCTGCCTCCATTGTTCTGGGCTCCTTTCTTACTTGCATAGCCAGCAGGAGGAAGCTGGTGGCTTTGGCTCTCTCTCTGACTCCTTCTTTGGCTTTCCTTGCTGAATGGATCTGTTTCTGCCTCTGTTGTTCAGCTGTTGAGCAAGTCTGTTTCTTGGGTTTTGGCTTGCTCTGCAGGGTACGAAGCAGCTAATGCTGAGTCTGCCACTGCTTTGCAGAACGTTAGGTTTGGAGGGGCAGTCTTTCCCACTTCACCTTAGACTGAAGCTGGAAGGAAACGGAAGGGTCTTGTCTAGCGCCTGCCCAAACATGTTGGGGCAAATGTCTTCCTGGCCCTTTCTGGGGTTACGTGTATTGCTAATAATGGTCTGGATTTACATCTGAGAATATCAGAGGGTCTTGAGATAAATGCCCATCTGTGTGAAGTTAGGCAAGAGTTGCCTCTGTGTTACAGGAGCTGAAATCAAGGTGCAAATTAGTATGAGTTAGCCCAGAGTTTACAAGAAGACTCAAGCAATTTGGCGGCAGTGACGGGAAATCTCCCCATCTTCAGGGCGGTGCATTAGGATGGAGCCAGAAGTACAAAAAAAAATGTCGTGGTGTAAACCACGTTAGGTTTCATTGTCTTCATGCAGGTCTCCTAGGAAGCTTCTGAAAGATGAACTTTTGCAATGAGATTGGGCATACGGCTATACCGCTGGGTAATTCAGGATGGTGAGTAGCTGGTGCTTAAGTCACAGTAAGAGTAAAAATTGAGTGTTCCCAACTTCAGTCTACAGTATGAAAGAAGAGATATCTGACTTAGTTTAACTTCATGCTTGTGACAACTTTTTCAAGTCATGATTACTGCACTAGTGGATTGATTTAATTGAAAAGGGAGGTGGTGGCAGGTCTGAGTTTTCCTTTAAGTATGACTTCACCAGAAGAGCTAGCATAAGTTTTTATTAATGCTAACAATATTGAGCATAACATCAAAGCCAGGTTTAACTATTACACAGTTGTATAGCTAAATATGAAAAATAAGACCATGAGTCTTTCTGCATGTGCACTGTTTCATGATGCTGATTTTCAGGCCTTATGTACATCAACAATAATGGACCAATCCAGCCAAAATTTGCTTCCCCAGCTGCTGGCCTTCGGAAGTTCCCTGGGCCTCTTGTGTTCTGCAGCTGTGGAGGCAATTCCCTGCTCTGAACGAAAGAATCTCCCCTCTCCTGTGACTGCAAATGCTGAATGAGACATCCTGTAACACCCTGTTCAGAGGGGCAGAACTGACAGCTGACGGCCATCCTTGGCATTTTAGTCTTTGTAGATAATGACAGATGATGCATAACCATGAGCAAGGAGCCCCTTAGGTCCTAAAATAGGAGAGAAGATTTCTGGGGAATTATTATAAAAGTTCATTGCCTAAAGGTTTTGGTGCTGGTTCTGCTCCAGAGAGAGTAAGGAGGAGAGATATTAACCAGAGTTAAAAGAAAAAAATAATCTGACACATTAGAGTATTGCAACATCTTAGGCGAGTGCAGAGAGCACATTTCTCCACATACACCAAGAATAAGCCCAGGAGAACTGCTGTGTGAAAAGTTTCTTACAGAACCACACAAAACTTGCCTACTTTCAAGTTTTGCTCTGTGTTTAGATATAAAACTGTCTGTTGTAAGTTTCACTTAAATTCCTTAATTTGCACCTTTCAAACAAATTGAAGCCCACTTACGGTTTTGCAGATGAAACCTGATAGTTTCAAGTGAGTTTCAGTTTGAGCTTTTAACATTCTTGTTCAAACCTGAAACTCAAAGTGAAATTCAGGGGGTGCAAAAACACGTATATGGAAAAATCAAAGGAAAAATTCACAAGAACCTGTGCAAACCAAACTGTGAAATTTCCTACAGCTCAGGCTCCATCCATTTACGCGGTTTATCTTCGTCTCCTCTTTGCCTCGTGGCTGTGGAGGCCAAGGGTCCCATGGTGGTAGCTGCCAGGGCCGGGGCTGCCGGAGAGCTGCAGTGGCTTTCCATGGTCAGCTGCTGTCGTTATGGGGACAGCAATTCATCCACATCTAAATTTGTCTTCAGATTCC